CCAAGTTCCACAAATGTATCCAACAAAAGACAAAAAACTGTAATCCATTTTCTATGATGCAATTTAGCACCATTCGTACGGCTCTATTTGTAGATATAATGGATGTTGAACAGAAATTAATTCCGCATTTATTTATAGATAATGTACACCTAATACCTATTTCTTATTAATTGGTTCCGGGCATTGTATGTATATATGTAGGTATGTATTATGGAGGTATATATACATATACGCGATTATAAAACAGTCGTTTTGCATGGATGATAATCTTACAACCTGATAAGGTTGTGCCATTATTTGAGCCACAAAGGTTGCTGTATATGGTGCTAATTCCGTGGCAAGGTTTTAAATCTGCCAAATGTACTTTTTCCTTTTAGTATTATGTGGATAAAATAGTTAATTGTACGATTTCTTGTATTACATTCTTCTGTAATGATAAACAAATATTATATACAGATACTCTGGTAATAATATGATTTCAATACGGAACTCGTAAGTAAATAAAACGTATATCTAAAACTGCATTAATTAGTATTATCAGTGCTTAGCGAAATCTGATAAGAATCAGATTTCGCTAGGCAGAGATAATACTAAACCCGGGTCACAAGTCCCGGGAACGACTCGGTGTTTCCTTCTCTGTTACACGATGGCTCGGTGAATCCATAAAATACTAAGAAGTTCGTCTATTACACTGTCACAACTGTTTCAGTGTTAACCTATGGATGGAGTAGCCAGATATATTAACGACGGCGTGGTGAAAGTGTATTTGATATATCCACATTTTGCCGGAATGTTTGACTCCATAGAAGGCAGAGAGTCTAGGAATATAAATTGGCACAATTCGCACTTGATTTTAGTAACGACCAGATGAACTTACTACCTTTTAAGTGTAATTCGAAGTAATAAAGAAATAGGCCACGGTGGACTCACCTCTGTACGATTGTAGTACTGAATATTTATTTCTGTTAAAGATTATTACGATCTGAAAATGGAATGAATTCCAACTGGCTGGATCCATTAATTGCCATTATTAAACGTCCCACGCAGCACGGAAAATGCTTTCATAAATAAGTCGATCTATCAATCCTGAACTCTAGGTTTCTATAAGAGAAGTTTAATTATAAACAAGTACTTTATTGTGTCTAATTTGCCATCTACGCTCTAATTTGAAGCAATTAATTACATATAATAATCTGGTATTATTACAATTATTATTTATTCGGACTACTCTGATGTTGCTGGCCGCAGCTGACCTTTAGAGCTTCACCGGACAATAGGGGGCGAGTGCAGATGGCACTCTAAACCCGCGGAAGGACTTATGGAGCGGCTGAAGGCCAACTCCTGCCTGACGACTATTGGCTGAGGGCACGCTGCTAGGGGTTCGAACCTCGGCTTAGGCCGTCGTAATTACGATTTCCGTTTAAATTGACGGGAGATCGATCAGAGGGCGTTATAATTATTAATTTAACAAATAATATTTAATTATCACTGCCTTGCCTTTTTATTATTTGGGTCACTATTATAAGTATTAAAAATACTGCCTATGTTTAATAATGTATTTAACAGCTATCTTTATATTTGCGATCCAATTATTTTATATAATTATTGTACTTCTGTAGTGGTAATTGAGTGTAATTCGAATAAGTAAATGTTTTTCAGGTTATTAGGCCAATTTAAGGAAGGAATTTTTTTTATTACACGCAATAACATCGTTTTAACAGCAAATAAACAATCCTAGTTCGGGAGTTAGCTAATCGATTTCACTAACTGCCAATAAAAAGACAGACTTATTGAATAACATTGTACGGCATCAAAGTCGGTTGATGCTTAAGTATATTTTTATATAAACGGGAAGCATGTTCTTTCTTGTATAAGTTTTGTTTCAGATGTAAGACATGAAATTTATTGAAGACAAGTGAAATAAAAACTACACTCTATTTAAAAAAATCTTTATATTTTTTTTTGTAAATAGATATTTACCATTTTCGATAGTCACACTAGAAAATTCAAGATCAATTTGTATCTTGAATTCCAAAAAATGTACTAACATCATTTTCATTTTACTTTATACTTATTACATTATACTTTCATAATAATCAGCGCCATTAGGCAATGTCTAGTGATAAACGCGTTGTATTATATGTGCATTTGTCACTATTTAAATCAACTACAAGAAGAATTTGAATATTTTTTTGACGATTGCTATCCCTTTAGGGCATTGTGGCATAATTGACCACAAAATTACTGCAACTAACTGTATTTTAAAGAGCTGCCTTCGTAGAGTTCAAACTATAGGGATACGTATAATGCTATATAAATATTTCTCTTTATAAAATCGAAACTTAATAATTTTATTCTTTTTTTAATTATAATAAATGTTATTATAAAAACAATAAATATTGTAATGACCTATTTGTCCGGGCTAATCTTGTTTTCCAGTTCTGATCTAGAAAATCTTTCACGATTAGGTCTAAATAGTTCGATGAAAACGGCAATCTAAATAATATCGATAAGATATTTTCTACGAAAAAATCGATTTCAACCTTGACAAAATTAGTACATAATACTGATTTCAATTGCTCAAAAATACAACATGCTTATGCATGTTGTATTTTTTTCCCCGTTTATATTAGTCAGTTAGTAGTTTTTTTATTATTAAAAAAACTACTAACTGACTAATATAAACGGGAAACTCCTGTACATTGTGAGTATGGACATATTTATGGTCACGTATCCTTCAAATATTTTTGTACCGACAGCTGTACGTATACGTCATTCAGTTATATAGTATCTATACTGATATTATAAAGCTGAAGAGTTTGTTTTTTTGTTTGGATGATCTCAAGAACTAGTTTAGTGTTTCGAATGGAAAAATTCTTGCAGTGTTAGATAGCCCATTTTTCATAGAAGTTTATCTAAAATATAAAATTAATGTGTTAGTTGCCATACTACTCTGAAATGGCTCGACCGATTTTGATGAAAATTTATATGTATATTCAGTAGTTCTGAGAATAGGTTGATAACTATTTTTTATACTTTTAAATGATAGGGTGGCTAACCCCAAGATTGTTTTTTTAAATGGCAAAATGTTTGCAGGATCAACTACTAAGCTAACTAACATCACGCTACAACGTATAGGAGCGGATGTTCTAAAAACGGGTAAAATTCATTCCTTTTCAGTACTGCCGTTTTCCTATATGACGCAGACGCTCTGGTCAGCTAGTTGTATGTTTATAAAATATGAGTCTATTGCTACGGCATAAACAGCGTTGCCAGCTTGACCCAGCTGTCTAGTTCGGCCCACGCAGATCGCTACCGTCCGCCATTCACTATCTACATATGTGTATATTCACCATAGCAATTAGCATTTATTGTGGTACCACATTCGTTTTCGTTTGTTTATACAACCGCGAATTGTTTTGCTACAAGTTATAAATTATCATTTTTATTACAGTTCCGAGTGTTGTTTGTTTTCATTATCATTAAAAATATAATAATTTAGAAACTAAATCAGTTACAATATTACCCACAACTTCGTCTGCTTTTTTGAGATAAATGTAGCCTATATTCGTCCTTGTGATCTATCACGCCAAGTTTAATTAAGATCCGTTCAGTCGTTAAGTCGTGAAAAGGCAATATACATACAGACAGACTAGCTTTTGTATTTATATTTATAGTGTGGTTTAATATGGATATGGATTTTCTTCACTTTGCTACTGGTTACCTACTGCAATGTATTTCTTCTAACCATACCTTTTTCATAGTTACTTAATGTTGAAATACATCTCTAGACACCCGTAACATACTATCTAGTTTATCATTTACATTTTATCATATGTAATTTAGTTTTATTATTAAATAGTAATAACTTTTATTACTCAAAAAGCATTAGTTACACGTTACAACTCGTATAGTTATCATTAAATACATTATGAGGTATTCACGTTGTACTGAGCATTGTGTACCTACATATTGAAATTCATTGCCGTAATTTACTGATGAATAAGACACGTTGAGCAGCCATAGTATTGAATGTATACGGAACGAAAAGAGAGGTTATTAGTGCTAATGAAAGCTGAAAATGTATTATGCTATATATATGTGCTGGTTGCTTCATTACTATGCGGTTTGAAAAACCTTTGGGAAACCTTAATTCGTTAATATGGGAGCTGTGTCTTTTGATTAGAGGGCATTCATGCCATCATCCGACTGCTAAAAAAAAGGTAGTAATTTTTATTGAAGATATGCCAAAAATTATGTTGTATGGTTACCGGCGGCTGTAACTTTTTTTTTTTCCGACATATTCTAATGCTGTTAGCCGTAGCTGGCCTTTACAGCTTCACCGGACGTTAGGGGGCGAGTGCAGATGGCACTCCAAACCCGCGGAAGGACTTATGGAGTGGCTGAAGACCCAACTCCCGCCTGACGGATACGACTTTAGTCTGAGGGCACCGCTTGGGGTTCGAACCGCAACTCAGGCCGTCGTAATTTCGATCCCCATTTGAATTGAACGGGGGATCGATCGTAGGGGAGCTTGTAAACTATAAAAAAATTGCGAAATTTTACTGTAACTTGATTGTGACAGCAAATTCACTGAATTTATCTCTATTTTTGTATGTAGATACTAAATGTATATATATTTATATACTTTAGAAGTATTCAGATATGTGTTTCTTTATGCCCAATAACATTATAACAAATCTAACTATATTAGCTGTAGAGACCCCGGCTATCTATCCCTGGTTCTTTTAAATATTCTAATACTATTTGCCATAGCTGGTCTTGACAGCTTCAACGATGAAAATGAGGGCTAATGCAGAGGCTTCTAATAACTCCAGATTGGTGAATACCAGATTAGGCTTAAGGCACTAGTAGAGGTTCGATGCTACGCTCAGATCGACAATGAGACAAGGGATTGATAGGACTGTGTCATATCCAAATGCTTACTTCAACTATTGTTGTTTATGTGTAATAATAGAAAGTATTGTATATTGTTACAGGCAATATAAGTGCAGTGTTCACTTACAAATGGAAGGGAGAGGAGATCACGCGTCTCATAGACAATGGCACAAGAGTTATGCTCGGCATCACGAAGGGCCGCACTTTCGCCAATGTTGGAAACAACATAAACAAGTTAGTACATTTTTTATCACCAGCTGACCTTTTTCAGCGGCCTCACTTTCCGTTCACACAATGGCATTTTTATTACTACAATGATTATAGTAATAAAATATAATAGAACTGTGGTTTCAAACGATTTCAAAAATGAATTTCTCAATTCTACTTACTTTATTGTTGGATTTACCTGTTTTTACTGATGGTAGAATTCGATATAGAATGGCTTCGGCCAGAGCTAACTGAATACACTGGCCGTTACAAGTGGAAGATCATAGGATAAGATTTTTTTTTATGGATGATAATGGAATGATGAACTGGTGTCCCGCCAGCGTAAACAGTTAGCGCACTAAGAGTTTACGCTGGCGGGGCCACAGTGGAAGATGATAAGATGAGCATGAGGTCAATTACACCATCGTGACAAATTCATTAACTATTTAACACGATGGTTTCCAGGGGGAACCGCGTGGAGGTTAATCTGACATGGTACATCGCTAGCAATATTATCATCAGTCCACATTACTAACAATCCCCTTCTCCTCAGGATGAATAAAGTCATGTCAGTATATCTATTGAAGTGAATTCATCAGGAATTAAACTCTATGGTTGGTTATGCAAACTAAATGCACGGAGAGAACCTGATGCTTACATACATTGGTAGCAATGGTGTTACTATTAGATATCTTATATATATCTTAGATGCCTTTAGCAAATCTGAACTGATATGAAAAAATGTGTCTAAATATTTTTTTGCAATACTCGCATGGTGGTCCCATATTTATTATAATATGATTGAATGTTTTTATTGAACAAAATATCCTTGTTCTTTAAATAGTAACAAGAAGTAGGTAGTAACATGCTTTGAATATCAAATATTGTGTAATTATGTATTAAGCAGATATACTCCATATTATGCTATGCGAAGCATATTTAAATCTATGATATACGTGAGATCTTTGATAATTGTGGAAATCCCCATTGGTAGGTGTCGACACAAGTGTGTCGAGTTGGTTTATACACTGATGTGTTGATATGTCAGCTAGCTTTATTCTTTTTAGTTATATACATATATAATGATGGAGATGAGTCGTATTATTTATAATATTATTAATAATTTCTTATTACTACTTATTGTTCACGTTTTACTCACTTTTTGACCCAAATAGTGTCAAATTCGCATTTTTTAGAAGTTTTGACTCATCTCTTTTTTCATTGACACTTCGGATTAATACATTTCTAATAAATAATACAATACAATACAATTCTATATACTTTATGAGCCAAACTGGTATTCAGAATAACAATAGTTATAACTTTTGTGTTCTCCAGTTAATCTAATTGAACCCCAGTTCGGTTAGCTACTTCAGTCTACACTATCTCTACTGGGCCGGTTTTTTTTAAGGGATGATAATGGATTGGTGCTTCCGCCTACGCTAAAGGTTTACGCCGACGGGTCACCAGTGGAGCATGATAAGATGAGCATGAGTTAGTTAGGTCATCGTGGTATATATGGTTTCCAGGGGAAACCGCGTGAAGTTCAACCTGATATGGCATTACTAGCAATAGGTTTATTAATCCATATTACTAACAATCCCCTTCCATCATTATGATATGTATATTACTTCATGATATACACTATGACTATTTTAATGATTTTCCCTGACATTAAGTGGCGTATTGTTTCAGGACGTCGGTTCTGTTCGTGTCGATCTCGTTCATCGTGCTCATGGTGATATCACTGGCGTGGCTGGTGTTCTACTACATACAACGCTTCCGATATATACACGCCAAGGACCGTCTCTCTGTAAGTATTGATATGATACTAGCATATCGCCCCGGCTTAGCACGTGTGCATCACAAATCAAATTAAAATATCTTCATTCATGTAGGTCTATTACAGACTCTTATGTCAAATTTACCATCAGTTCGAAGTGCTTTCGAGCTAAGAAGAACTGACAAGAAACTCAGCTCTTACACTTTTGAAACTGATTGTACATGTTTATAAAAATACGTATTAATTTTAAATTCAAATTTGGAAGAATAGAGAGACCACCAGCATATGCTATTACAATTTTGTCTAAAGGAAATAGTCTAATCAGACCACTCCCCACGAGCAGCACCCGTTCACGAGTATGACGGATCTTTGAATTCCTCGGCTTTCCTGCACCATAATATGCGTGCATTACGGTGCATTAATCCTTCATATTTACATGTAAACCTTCCTCATGAAACACTATCTATTGAGGGAAACTATTAAAATAGTGTGCCTGTAACACATTGTCATTTCGGAGGACTAAGATATGATGGTTCCATACCCTGTAATTTCACTGCCACATTTCACCTTTCAACCGAAACGCTAACACAATGTGCTTAGCGGTCTAAATAAAAAGATAAGGTAGAGTATTTTATATAACAAATATTATTACATACGTTTATATAAGTTCTGTTATATTGTAGCTACATACCACCTTAATATAGGAAAAAATATTTATTTTATTATTACTGTTGCCAGTCTCTAGTGGTTGTTTTTATATAAAATAGCTATGCATGGAGATCTATTATTGGCTAACTGTTTCTTACGCATATAATAATTTGATACTTATAGCTACTGGTTTTACCAATAAATGGTATTTGGTATTTTTACAAATACTTATATTTAGGAAGTGTGTTATTTGCATTTGTTTACTTTATTTTACTGTATTAACTGTAAATCTATCTGTAGTCAGAAAATCAGCTTATTTGATTTTGTATTGTATTCCAGAAACGGTTGTGCTGTGCTGCAAAAAAAGCCTTATCCAAGATACCTGTAAAGAGTTTAAAGACTGATGATAGAGTGAGTATAACTATATCTACTATACTTTTTTCAATCATGTTACAGTTCGATCTTTTTGCTAATAAGAAGGGTCTGGCTATTAGCAACAGCAGATGATAAGTATGAAGTCAGTCAGGATTGTTCGTTCATCATGGGGAATTCACCAGGAATTATACATAATTGTTTCTAGGGAAGTCCTCGTGGAGGTCGACCAGACTAGATGCATTTCTACGCCATATAGACCCTACTAACAGCCTCCGTCCTATATGTATTAACAAACGGGTTTTAATAAATATATTTAAATAGAATGAACTATTGGTTACCTTGAGAATTCTTACAGCTTAAATATTCAATTAAAAATAACACATGTAATGATAATTTGAAAACATATGTAAACAAGTTTATTAAAATATATGTCATTCTATTGTAATGAGGTGAAAATCTATTTAGTTGTACATGACTAATAACAATGAAATATTCAAAGAAAAAAACGAAAGATATGTACAGCAAATAACATTCAGATGTCGTAATTTTAAGCATGTTTTCACCTCAAATAATTTGCATATCTAAGAGTATGACACACTCCCTTCGTTGGCGCGACATCCCAAAATGATTACCTCAGTACAGTATTGTTACTGATAACATTAATTACTAATGTATGTAATGATATGTAATGATACTATATGTGGCGATGAGGTAGGAAAATATTGTGTCACCATTTCTTTCGCATTTCATTAATGTCGCAACAGCTGATTTTTTTAGTACTGTATATTTTTTTGTCTAATTCGGCTATTAGCATGTGTAAGACTACAAATATTCAATTCAAATTCAAAATATCTTTGTTCGTCAGTTCGGAATGATTTCGAGATTAGAAGAACTGACAATAAACTCAGCTCGTATTCTTTTCAAATAAATGTTTCAGTGCGGAAACCTCTATTAGTGGTCAAATTCCGGCAGATATATTTGATTTTTGTATGAATGAACCGGGTCATCCAAACCCCTAAGAGAGTGCATGTTGGGGCCTCGGAGCGAACCACTTTGCCCCGGCATCAATTGGATTTAAGCACTGTGGGCAAGAAAATTTACATACAATAAAAAATTACAATATTTACTACTTGACTTAGGAACTAGTGTTCTGTAGCTAATAAAATACCTAATGGATGTTTGTCTAACGTTTCAGGAAGTACAGGGAGATGGCGAATGTTGTGCCATTTGCATAGAACCTTATAAAGTGTCTGAGACCCTTAGATCTCTTCCTTGTAGGTAAGTTATGATTTTAATTGTATTTTTTATGTATTAATTATATATTTTCTTATATATACATATAAATTACATAAAATAATAATATATTTCTATTATTATTTTATGTATATTTTCATATTGGTTTCTATCGTCTTTCAATTATCATTGTTGATTGAATATCTATCTATAGTATTTATTAATAGCGACCAGAGTTTTCCTAATAATGCATAAAAATATTAATATATTAGATATATTAAACTTATAACTATTTTTATATTATATATTCTATACTATACAATCCACAAGGAGTTGAATGGTCTTAAATTTCGATGGGGGTAGCTTTTGAACCTACATGGCATGCATGAAGGCTTTCACCTGTTGTTACATATTATCTTAAAACAAGTTATAACGCAATTTATACATATATACAGATATTTTAAATGATTGTACTTAGAGTAATCTTGTTTTAGAACAACTGCGCCTTATGTAGAATAAGTATATTGATTAAGTTTATATGCTTATTTCGAGCATTTTATGTTCCATGTATTCTGGTCTATAGTAGTAAATAAAAAAACTTTGATTTGCAGACACGATTTCCACAAGAATTGTATAGATCCGTGGTTGCTAGAGCACCGCACATGTCCCATGTGCAAGATGGATATACTCAAGCACTACGGCTTTGTGGTACGTAGACATTGTATCTATTTATTTGTCATACTACAAACGATACCGCTTTATAGTCACTAATCATAGCCATAAAATTATTTATTGACTATGGGTCGGGGCAATGGAAAACGAAGTTGAACGTCTCCTTAAGTAGACTGCGAGTGATCTCATATTAATATGTAAAATTATAAATAACCGTGGAAGTTAAGGACACTTCTTTTTATATTTCAGTACACCGGTAGTCAAGAAAGCATCCTACAATTGGACGTCGAGGAAGCTCGAAGTCGCGCCCTCAGCCCCGCGCGCAACAGGCATCCCCTCACGCTGGTATTAAAATTATTATTTTCTACATATAAAACAAAGTCGTTCCCACTGTCCATATTCCATACGTTTAGATATTTAACAACAGATTTTAATGTAGTTTAGTTCCAATGCGAAGCCGGGGCGGGCAGCTCATTAGCTATAAATAAAAATTCTTTACATTTTTAAAGCATACTTACTACTATTAGATATATTTCATCCTATAGATTCTAATATTTAAGACCAGTAAAACAGTTCTTACAATAAAGTAAAAAAAATAGAACCTTAATTATATATTTTTCATATAAAGCTAAGACATTTAAAAAATTTTTATAACTGCACTCGAGCGTTATGTAATAATTAAATGTAGTCTCGTCTGGTCTACCTACACTTACTTCTCTTGTAAGTGTAGGTAGACCAGACGAGAAACATTGCTATTCCGGTGATTCGTTGTGGTATTAAATTGTCCCGTTTTATTATAGAACAAAATATTCATAATTGTAATAATTGTTATTGGAGAGTAAGTTGAAATGTTATTACAGCTAACGAGCGACAACTCGTACGAGGAGGCGACGAGCGAGCGCAGCAGCCGCGCGTCGTCGCCCGACGAGCTGGTGCCGTCGCTGCGCTGCGAGCCCGTCACCACCACCGCGCACACTTCCGCTTCCGCTTCCGGTTCTGCGCATTCACACGCCCGACATACAGACTCGCGATGTGGTCACTCTTCCAGGTATATATTTTACTATTATTATACATTTTTAGTTGAGAACGCTCTAAATGTTTTTGGTTGGAAAGGAGGCTGTAATGTCTTGCTAGTCAATACAATTTGCCATTACAGCCTCCTTTCCAAACAAAAACATTTAGTAAATAATTATTTTTGTAGTAACGGACCTGGCGTGTACATTGTATACCTATAATATATCTTTAAATTATAACAAAAACGTAACTTATCACTGTCCGTACAATGAAGATTTATGAAAAAAGACCTTTGGGGAATTTGTCTGTTTGTAGTCTTAATCTCAGAAGGGCTTAACCGATTTAAGTATGGTTTTCGCCAATGTATAATGGTAAACTTCCTTGACATTTTCTTTTATTGCAACTAGTACAAATAAAAAATATATATAATTATTTTGTTTTTCGGAATACCATACCGCACGATTATGAAGTTGTGGGCTCACCTAATAATATAAATAATACATATATTAATTTACATTTATAGATCGTGCACGTCGACACCCAGCGGATCGCGGACAGAGAGTTCGAGACAACAGATGGGCTCGACGAGCTCTGCACCCGTTCTCGATTGAACGGTAAATGGTCAACCCACCGTCGTGCCAAACTACGCCTAAGTTATGTGCAGAGACTGATGGGACGGCGCTGCGTGATCACAACATACGTGAACAGTGCTAACTAGTGCGGTCCATACGAGTGATGTGTTCATAAAAATATATTAGAAAAATACTCAAAAAAGTATGTGAACTCTATGAAAGTGAATTTCCAGTGAAAGATATGGATGACACGTGATATTTTTATTTTTAAGGACAATATAGATTTTTTATGGATTAGCTGATACGTTGGTAGATAGGAATCCGCAACTCCGCCTAGTCAACGAAATAGTGTTGTCTGCCAACAGGCAAGCATACATGCCATTTACGACCACCATGAATATTATACAACCGTTTCCTCTGTATTTAGTAGAAGTAGAGATGTGTCTTATACTTTGCTATCAATACTAAATAAAAACGGATATTAATGAATAATATAATATTTTATGTTGCGTGGTTTATGGAATTTTAAATTTCAATGCAAATTTATTAGCTTGTAAACTGAAACGAAAATAAAATAACAGTGTCAGATGTATTAAGTCCACAATACAGAACATATACTTTTTTTAATCGCTATAAATAATAGCAAAAGAATAAAGCTGATATTTCTTTAGAATAATAATTTATGTTAAATTCCTTCTTCAGACACCATTTAAGTACCTAAATGGTGTAGACAGTGAGCTCATTGTCAAAAGGTGTATATAAATGAAATTTATCGTAAACACTGCCTTAAGTTCCAAAAAAGCGAGCCACTGTACTTAAATTGGTTCATGATCTCATTTGTATCCTTTAATGAAAATATTTTTATGTACATATTAATGCTTAAAATACGGTTGTGGTGGCCCTATATTATATTCATATTAAATTAATTAAATATGTTCTGTGCCGCATAATTGCATTAGTCGCGTGGAACATACAAGGCAATCGTTACGTTGTGTGAGAGCTGTGTTAAAGAGTATCCGTCCACAATAATGTAAATTATAGGTATATTATTCCCTGGTTTGATAAATTACATTTTCTGATATTACTAGAGTTAACATTGTGATGCGAAGTGAAATAGACATATTCATTTATACAGAACATAGAATGCATACCGCTCACATCTTAGATGCACAGAAGCATTTTTTGGTTGACAAATAAAAAAATCGTACATTAATTTGATTCATTAAATTTAAAACATATATTGCAATCTATTATAGCTAGTATAGGCGAATTCTTGTATTAAATGTTTCGAATAAAACTACTTTATAAACATTTTGTCTTATATTGGAATGGTACGGACAGCTTTTTGTACTAGCTGTGCTTAAAATTAGTGATTGTACTTATATTTTTTGTTTTACTCTTCCAAATGATTTCAGTATGATTTTATGGTATATGAAATAATATATTACTATTGTATAGATGTCTTTTAACATATCTGTCTTATTATGTGTAATAACAGTTGTGTATAACCTGGTAGCACATTGTAGAGAGACTAAAAGTATAATAAATATATTTTATAGACCCGCTAGTCATGGTTATACACGATTTATGTAAGGCTTATTAAAATTGTATATTTTGAAAAGGGGCCATTACACAGTATGTTTAATTGAAGCTTTTATTAAGTTTTTAGTTGATTAAAAAATTAACTATTGGTTTTATCAAACTTATACATTTAAAATGTTACTTAACGCTGATCTCCAAGATAATATTCAGCTTATTCGGTGCCTTCATGGAACAGGGCAAATTGTGAGGATAAAAGCAATAGGAAGGTAAATGTAGATAATCAAGCAGCTTGATTAAGTACATGTCTTCCACGTGTAGGATAAAGACGGAGATGCTCCGATTGTTTTAGAAATGTGCTTGCTCGATTAAGCCGCTTGATAGTCTATGGAGCCGATAATAATAGTTTATACTTGATTCTGTGAAATAGTTTTTATAATCTAGTCTGAAATTGTGTCGCTTTTAAGTTCAATTATTCATTTCATTTGTTCATTAAACTGTATAATGTACTTTGTATTAAATTTGTATTTAAAAGCGATTTCATACATTCAAACTTTATTTTTAAGTATTTAGTGTAAGCGAGCATTTAAGTTATTACTTACAGTACACTACAGTACTTATATAATAAATCCATTGGATTCTATAATAACAAGGAGACTGGTATGTACTTTTATTAATTACAAAATAAATATTTACATTCCCTTCGAGAAATGTTCTACTGTACTCGGTGTACAAGTGTTGATGATAAAAAGAATAAAAACCAATACAGTATTGAAATTGGCGTTTTATTAAATATTACTTGTACTCATACATTTCTTACATTTACTTATGTCTGTGTGATAAAATAAAACTATAACGTCAAATCAAATCACTATAGCGTCTTTTGTATTCTTATTCTTCAAACAACACCACATGCGTAACAGGGCTCCAGTAAAGGATGCGAGGATGACATTGTCTTTCATTCTTTGCAGCCAATTCGACACCAATTATTCATAATTGTTTCCAGGAAAGATCGCGTGAAGGTAAAAAAAGATAAACAAGGTAAATATAAAAATGTTATTTTATATAGAAAAAAAGTTAATCACTAAATAATTAATAATAATACCTATATATATACAATAAATACAAAATCAGTATTTTATCCATACTTTACCCCATTTTTTTATGTTATACAGAATTTGTCCTAAAGAATATACAAACCGAAAGCTAGTAATAACATTCAATGAACATTCATAAAATGAATGTTCAATTGTTCAAAGTATATTGAAATGAGCGAACTAAAAAAAATATTGAAACCTTCATACAAACTGCGGACAAGTGGTAAATTAAGTATGAAAATAACAATATTTGTTTCGACTTTGTTTCTTTGTGAAAATGTTTCAGTTTCCGAATGTTTTCCTTTGCTTTCGATTTAGTGTACCCTTTATGATTAAATTGTCATAAACTTGTAACATTTTTTGTTGGTAGACATTTTATTACGTTAAAAATAAAAACGAAACCTTGAATAGAATTCCATTACAATTAACAGAATTTAAACAAAAATAAATAGGATTAATTTAAAATCACAATAAAAATATCTAATTTATTTAGGGAAAACTAATTACGTTTAATAATTGAACTAGTATTTAAACCATAGTTTTCATGTCACCCATCTGTCCATTCAATAAACAAAATATTTACTATTGAATTATTTCCATATAAAAACAATTCTTGGACTGAGAATTACTTAATATTTAAGCATAAATTAAACCGTCCACAATTATTTCCCTTATGATTACGACTATTTTATGTAAGTTGGTTACATAAATGTATGAAAATGTGAGAGATACCGAATAACTGACTATAAGATCTTATCTATTATTAATACATTTTAACCAATTAACCGTATTTTTTTTATTATTGTATTTTTAATATAGTAGCAAAATAATTAAGAATTCACTTATCTTTTTATCCTATTGGACGCGGGCAACCCTGCGTGATACGGTTATAATATACTAATTGTAAGTATCTATTAGGACAACTCTTATTTTATAAAAAAAAAAAATACCATCCACTAGTTTCAGGAGGCATAAAGATCCACCGTTGCTGTTGTAATTTGTATTTTTCCTACTTTACTAGTAGCTTTTATAGCACTATGCAAACAAAGTTAGAGGAAGAACTTTTAGTTACAGCTAAATATGCTGCTTTATGTACGGGACATAAAGCAGCATATTTGGCTATAACTAAAAGTTCTTCCTCTAAGTTGAGAAGTGGTCAATCTTAATTCAGTGTTGCAATAATACTAAAATTATTTCTAACACAGCACTTATCTTATCAACTATTAAAACAAAACACGGTTCTGTTGCCATACTAAATTACGTATTTTTTTCCTCTTATTCAGACAAACTAAAATTAATTTTTAACTATTACATATAGTCTGTTACATTCTGTGAATTTAGGAAAATAGTTTAATGGATAAACCAGCTCCATGTGTAATATGAACAAAGAAGAGTTCGCCTTTCATATAAATTTTGTGAAATTGTAGAACATTTAATTCACTTATGTGTATAGCATAACTACACCTTAAAACCATATAAATTTGCCCTAACAAAATCAAAGCCTATTTATCTCTGACATAGCTAACTAAAACTTTGGAAATATTTGTTTCTTACATGAAAGTTCGTCAGTCTTATACTATAACTATTGTTCCAAGTCGATTATTGCATCATTTTATTTATTTAGAATTATTATGTACATCTATCAAGTATTTGAAGATATTAATAGAATTGAAACAAAGATACAATTATAGATACTTTTCTGTAGATACTATTTTTGCATAAAAATAAATATACAACAGTAAAAAATAAACAATATAGAATTTAAAACATTGTGGGAGATTAGTACTTACTTAATACTGTGTAGCACTCGATACTCTTTGATACCTGCCAAAAAGTATTTATACCAGTAAAACTATCATGTTAAAAGTATCGATTACAAAGGTATCGTATCAAAAGTACTCCGAACAAAAAAATATCGATACTTCTTCCGTGTAAGTATAATTAGTGTGAACTTCATCTACTGGTGCTGGAGTGTGGTTGCGTGACTGCTGCTGATACGATCTCGTGCACGAAGAACGTGTCGAAATCGAACTCAGATCATTTATCCCACAGGCCCACTTCTTTCATTTTCGATTGGAAATATTTTTCTAGACCGTTCGCGCACCTGTTGCAAATTGAACGTCATGAATTCAAACTTATTCATTAGTCTATATACAATGTTAAATGTATGAAAATTATAAATATATGAGAAACAAGTATTTATATTAATATGAGAAAAAGGGGGAACAAAATTTATAAATAAATTATCAATACTTGTCAACGTTTGTTAGAAATATCTATAAATATATACTATATTTTTACATATATACTAATTATATCTAGAGAGATATTTGGTAAAAAAAAAATCTTCACTTACATTTATATCGATACACATTAAAGACAAGAGTATATCTGGACAACTATAGTAACAGATGGAGTAATTAGAGGAGTTAACTGACGGGGTCGTGGTGTCAACACTTCAGATACCCATATTTCTTAAAACAGTTATATTCTAAAAAACAGAAAAATATTTAGTTACCTGTAATAATCAGTGTCAGGAGAATTGTAAAGTCGACAGTTAGTAAATATACGCGTCATATCAGCAATAAACAGCCGCTTGGACACGTAGTAGCGAGCTTTGAGTCGTTCGCCCATTGTACGGAGATCTGTGGACGTCAATCGGTATAATGTAAAGTAGGAATACTAATATTCTACATTGCTCTCTAAGGTCTAAGTTTGTGTCAAATTTAATTATAGTATATATTACTATACTGTTTGTCTTTCTAATAATCAACTCAGATACACACTACTATTCTCAGTCGCCGTTCACAGCGTAATGTCCACATGACGTTAGCAGTGTGCGGTTGAGACGATATAATGCTTTGTTCTCTTTCCCACATATTCTAAAATCACTATTGCATCCACATTGTTGGCTAAAATTTACTGCACAAGTTTTTCAATCGTCTACAAAGTTCTCTAAGAACCTTCCACAAAGTATTGTACATAAATAAAAAAGATCAGTTAAGTTATTCTCAGGTTATGGCATGACCGCGGAAAATAGGGATACATTTTTATATATAAAGATTTTATTTGAAGTTTTCAATTGAGTCATTGCCAAGTACCCTTTATTTTCTTAGTGTTGATATACACTTACCCATAGGATACTTGATGTGGTCATAGTAATCAGGAACTTCGGACTTATCTACTGGTTTTAGGAAGGGCCAAGCTGCTGCATGATTTTTAACCTGTAACAATAAAAATTTAAATAAATATTTTTTCTTGGTTCTGACAGTATATATAACAGAAGTATTTTTGTTTGCTTCAAATGGGGTGTTAACAGGAAATCAAATAAGTGGATAAGTAGTAAAATAATAAACATGTGCAAAATAATAAGCTTGTGTCATGGGTACATCAGTTTACATGTTATACATAGAACACCTAGACCGATATAAATAATCATACTCATGAATACAGATTTTGAATTTGAACCATGCGAGATTCGAATCCTCGAGCATCGGATGTAAGGTGGTATACTAAACCGCTAAACTACTACTAAACTAAACCTACGCCGTCATAATAATAAAAATCCCGTAATGTCTCGTAAGTACATAAAATACCAGTTGTTGGGCTCAACGTGATACAATCTATATTCATTTTATTAATGGCCTGCAAGCAAGCATCCATTTCCTCCGCGTCCATCAGTCCACGGGAGGATATAATTGACGTAAATAGCCTCTAGCTCGTGGACTATACAATTCTTACAGCAGTTAAGTCGTGTAAAGTCAACATTTTCACATTTATAATACTAGTATGGGTGTAGTACAGACCGCTTGGAGCACATTTCTTAGTGCGGCTACGTCAGGCTCGGCGTCCGACTCGAGGGCGCGGCCCGAGGACATCGGGCCCGCACCGGAGCGCCAGCCCGTCTCGCGGAGCCCCGGGATACTTTCTACCGGTATACTTCGCACCTACGTCATAAAATTGGGATATGAGCAATAACATTATAGACATTGGTCTTTTTGGGACCAAGGATTGAATTGTTATGACCAATAATAAAAAGAAGTTAAAAATCTATTTATAAAAGTTATATATATATTTCGTACAGTACTGTAAGTCCGGATATATACATTACAAACTACATCTGTAATGCATGTGATTTACTTGTATATATAACAATATTTTTGTTTCTTTCTATATAATTTTTTTTAAATTTATTTAATGTTAATAATTCATAATTGTCAATGAAAGAATAAGAAAGAATAAAAATATAAAATAGAAGAATGAAATACAAAAAATAACTTCAATTAATTTAGATTTATTTCTAAATTAACTTTAAAAATATATGATAATTGGGAATCACAATTAAAAAAGTACTCACTCCTTCTTTAAAGCAGGTAAGTCCTGGGTGAATTTTTCTGACTTCCTTCTGTCTCATGTCGATTAATTTCTTGACAATCTAAACAGAAAGGTTACTTAATATATTATTACATGTCCTCATGCATCCATGTTTTTTTATTAGTGTGTAACGCTCCTCTTGCCTTGGTAAATTTCAAGTATGACCCCATAAATAGTAAGAGATCTAACACACTGACAATTAAAATATGTTTGCAATCTAAACTTGCAAAACTATTGTATTACAATTTTATTACACGTAACAGTGAATTTACTATATTAATTACTAAATTAAATATATTATTAATGAATCCAATAAAAAAAGACTCATCAAAACCGGATAACTCTGTAAAAACTTGCATTTAAAGGCATGACACAACAACATCCGACCTTAACATGTAATGCCTAAAAATTATAATAAAAATGCAATACAATTGGAAACTCAATAAGTACCTCCTTCTGCTTTCGTATAACGGATGTGAACTGCGTATACACGATACGCGGGTTGAGTTCGCAATGCATGAGCGTGGCGCCCTCGTAGTCCTTGATGTAGCCCTGGTACATAGCGCGAGGCAACTTGATGTCCTTACTGAAGCCTTGCTTCTTGAAGTAACCTGCCGGCAGCAAACGTTATTGAAGAGATAAAATAATGCTGCTCCAAATATAAGAAGCCCATCCCAATGTGCTGAGAAATCAAATAACAAAAGTTTGCATTTACCCCTATGCTCTTTCACACGGGAATAGCCTTTCAAGCAGGAAAGAATGTTCATGTAAATATAGATAAAAAGAAAAAGAAAGTGCACGCCGTCAGTTCACGCACTCATACTTACTTCAAACGTGCGTGTTTTAGCGCTTTCTGTTAATAACTATCATTGCCAAATGATCTGACTATAGAGTAAAAACATAATAATAGAGTTGTTGATAATTAATAAATCTTAAACATGTCTCTGGAAAATAAAAAATAATTATTTTTTATTTTTTAGAGATAAAATAACATGATTCATACAAAGTGAACAAAAAACTAGTTAAATACAATTCCTCAAAATTATATTATTATATTATAACAAGATATTTACAGTTAAATAAATAACACTCACCTATAGCAAATTCATCGGCGAATGTAAGAAAGTGTAGTATATTTGTCCGTATATGGTAATCCTTCAGGTGGTTCATGAGATGCGTACCGTAGCCCTTCACTTGCTCGTTGGATGTCACCGCACAAAACACTATTTCGCTGAAACCCTGTATATAACAATATACAAAAGTTAGTCTTGACTATTATTATACTACAGACCCACCGCGCATCACATTGATGATAGATTATTTCAAGAATCTATTTTTTTTTTTCATTTTTTAAGTTTATCGATTAGAAACAATAATACCGTGTTCAGGAGGTTACAAATAAAAATAAATAAATCACATATTTACGATAACTTAAAAACAAGATCTTGATCCAATTCATACGAGTAACAACAGCTTTCGTATAAGAAAAATACAATAAAACAAGTTATGTGATGAAACAAAAAACAGTGGAATTGAATCCTTTCACCTTTCGGGAAATCGGTTATTGAAAAAATGTTATTAATACACTTAATCTCACCTGTGCTCGGAATGTTCTAAAGCAGATGCCCCCTATTGGTCTCCCCTCTTTAATTAGCGCCAAAGTTTTATGTTTACTGAAAATATTAATATTCGAAAGTTAATATATATTATATTAATGTCTAAGAAAATGGTCTTCTATATTCTAAAATGATATTTTTATATTTCGATAATAAATAAATACTTACGGATCAAATACCAACTGTGATATGTATTCTTTTGTCATTTCAGGTAACTGGTGCGAGAAAACATTATGAAGACCTGGAAAATGTGTTTTTAGATGTAAGCTGAACAGAACAATGAAGACATTTGAAAGGTGTAAACATGAAGAGACTAAAATAATAATTATATCCTTGGACAATTCTCACAGCGCCAGTCATCAACTAGAGTTCTTCTTGGATGATGACTGGCGTATGTGTAGGTACTAGATAATTGATATAAATACCTATTTTTTTTTGGAAATACATACATAACATTTTTAGATAAAGACAGCAGGGGTCCATTCCCATAATACAATGAATCTTAACGTCAAATAATCATTCAGTCAACGGATCTTCCGTTCAGTCGTTATTAAGTATATAGTCGCAATATTACTCCTAGCGACTTCGTATCTCTTTGAGATAAAAAACTGAGTATACATGTCCTCGTGTACATTTTCGCAATAATAATATAAGAATGGATTATGATATATACCTATAAGCCATAGCATAGTCTGTTTGTTGACAGGCCCGGTCAGTGAGTTGCCTATGACATGGAACTCAATCAGCTTCCTTTGTTCCTCAGACTTGGCCGCCTCATCGCGCGGCGCTTGCATTTGAAACAGTGCCTGCAATACAATGAATTATATATTAAACTAGCCGACACCGAAAAGGTTGTTTTGCCAAATAAATTAAAATTGCTATTAAAAAAATAGGGGCTGATGATAGAAGAGTGAAAATTTAGGGTTGCCATGCCATGTTAGAGGTTATTTGTAATGGCCACATTATAAAAGTATTGTGGTAAAAATAAAAAATAAATGTTAGAGGTGGACAACCTTTTTCACTTAGAGGTATGAATAGATAGTAGCCGATTCTCAGACCTACTGAATATATAAAATTTCATAAAAATCGGTCAAGCCGGACCGGGAGGATTTCGGAGGAGTATACTAGCTAATATTGTAATTTTATATATATATAATGTACCTTATGTTAGTTATTATTATTTGAATGTTAATGGTGAGATTTTAGTAATAATAATTAAAAAAAACATGTATACAATATAAGGCATGGGAGTGCTTACATCAGGACCGCACATATAGTTAGGGTCGTTGATGGTGGCGACGATATCTGCCACAGTGCGGTCGCCGACGTCATCAGCCCCCGCCGCCCCCGCGACCTCACCTCGCCGCCGCTTGGCGTTACTCCCGCTGGTATCATCACACCGACTTTCTGCGCCTCGTTTTAATCCGCCATCTTGTTTTACTGAACCTATCAAAATTCAAAAATCATTTACTCATGTAGAACATTAGCATAGCCGCTTGAAAGAGTGTTCTACATGATAACGTAAATTTTTTATATTATAATTTTTCAATATATGGATGTAATTGAGAAGAACTGGCAAAAAACTCAATTGAATTACTTTTAAAGAGATAAACCATTAATGTAACAAAGATATTGTAATTAGGTATATATATTATAGTAATTTAGAGTAACATATACATTATAATGTACCTGCTGATAATGACACGGTGGTGAACCCATCTTTGCTGTCACCGCTAGCTGTAACACGCTCAAATTCCCCCCGACGACCAGCTGTGGAACAACATGATTATTGTAATTAACAAGTTCGTTAAATTCATATATTTTACAGAATGTTAGAATTTAATATTTTTTCGATCATCGCCAAACTGTTTAAATAAGTATATTCAAGATAGAATTTTATTAATTATAATTAAACAAAAAGTCAAATTTCACGCGAATGAAGTTCGGGTGGGACTGATAGAAGATCGTGGAAGGTGGCGGGAGCTCCACCGACAAGAGCACAGCTCTTAAATTATGAATGAATGAAGTTCGGGTAACAGTTAGTTCATGAATCATATTACATAATATACATATCGTATCAGCCGTGTTTACATGGCATAGATATTGTGAATTAAGTGATTATTAGATCAAATATGATTTATACTAACTTGTTTTATTCTCTAGTATGGCTTGAAGATGGGTGGGCGGCACTTGTTTGTACTCTGGATCCCAGATTGGTGAGTTGGCGCTGAAGATTTCGTCTTCGAGCAACGCCAGGAACCGTGGGAAGTGTGTAAGAACCAGCACCTGATTTTTTGTTAAACAATTATCCATAGTAGATATTAATAATTTCTAATTAGATGTATGTATATAAAATAAGATTCATAATCATTCATCTTAACAAGAAGTTCTTAATTAAACTGTAATATGTTTATCTCCAAGCTACGTTGTCTTACGATTGTCAACATATTTTAACAATTCTTTTTTAATCTATATTATATTATAGTAAAACACGACATCTTTCGACAAAAACATATTTATACATAGAATTAGTAAATGTTTTTTTTTAAGTACGGTCAATTATTTCGTATATTCTGCTATTACAAACGTGCAAAAATATCACATATTTAATACTAGTTTAAATTTGCGTTTTCTAGTTACTGACGCTTAATCCGGACACAGTAAGCAAAATGTGCCAGAAGAGGAAGAGGTTTGTACCTTGTAATATGTAATCTGTTTTATTCATAAGGATAGGTCGTCGTCCATAAAGGATTAGATAGATATGGTTTTTGGCTTGGAAGTAATGAGTCGTTTTTGTCGATAATAATATCAAGGGATGAGTACTACTAGGTACTATTAGGTAAAACAATGCTATAAATTTAAGGCTAAGTAGAGAAAGATGTTTGTTATTAGGGTATTATAGTCATCTTTAATGCGCTTTACTGTAATCATATTCAAATATATAAATAAGCTGAGAAATTCCTTTAACAATTCAGTGATAATTCAATTATATTTATGGATAATAATATAAAGTGATGTACATACTCGTTTTTCAGGTGGCATCCGATCCCGTTCAGAGTGACACTTGTCCATGAGTTGTCTGCAGACAGATTTGAACACCGCTCGGAGTAGTGTCCGCCCAAACACCAGCGACGTGTCATAGTGGGGCAGTGAATCACAGAATGCTGGCACATGGCAGAACACTAACCATCTGGAAGAAGATAGTATTATCATTATTGAGTGTAATCTTCTTGGTGATTTACAATACTGCTTCATCTATTACTTCCGGGTTCAATTCCTGAACAATACAAATATTTTCATTCATGAGTATGACTGGTATATGGTTATGTCTTCTATGTGTTATGTATTAAAAGTATTTAAGCATTCAATATTCATATCACAAAATCTAGTTAGCCTGGGACTAGATGGTGCTGTGTGATTTTTCCCTGGATAACCTCTATTTAAGTATGACTGCTGGGTTCCTCTCACTGTGGGTATAATGTAACTTCCATACTTCTTGCACTATTGAAGACACAGTAAGTACTAGGTACATAATAAAGCAACAGTATTTTTACTTCCAGAAGAGACTAACCTTTAAATTGTTAAATATTTTAAATGGATACAATTGTATTAGACAATACAAAAGAATAATGTCAAGAGAAATTTATACCTTGTGTAATTAATTTGATATGCAGATATATCCTCCGGATTTGAGACTTGCTGTAATGGAAACATAAAGGTTAATTAAATAGATCCTAATGTTATAACTCTAATTAAACACACAAGTAAATAATTATGATATAATATGTAATATCCATATATAAGATATATTTTGCAGTTCGAATTATTCTACTGTGAGAAAATTCTTCATTTTTGGATAACAATTCATTTTTAATATTTTCAATTCATACTTATTAGTGATTTATGCCTAATATACATTCTATCTATGATTACTATCTTTATACCGTTTACATGCTATATAGCCTGTTTCTGGCTGTCAAACTTAGTAATTTCAATAAGTACAAGAATTTTTAAATAAGCTAAGTGGTTATTGAGTTCACTATTACTAGTCCATGACTAAACATTTATATGGCCTCAGAGCTTAAGCACATCACTTTACTTCCAATGGCGACCATTGAATTCGATTCCTCACACAAAACATTTGTATTCATGAGTATGACAGTTTGTATTGGACTAAGTGTTGTCCTTGTATATTATGTATACATTTACATATAAAATGTATCTAAGTATTTATATCAGCTGTCTACTACACATAAGCAGAGCGCTTAGCTTGGGACTAAACAGCTTTGTGTTAATTGTCCAGGGATATTATTATTATGCTCTTCACAATATTAGTATAGACAATTTAACAGTCTACTTACCAATTTCCTTACACTCGGAGTCTCGAAGTTCCAGTGGTTAAAACAATGTAGGAACATTTTTGCTAAATCATACATTGTCTGCCATTCGCGCTGTGGTAGTGCTTGAAATTTGTACAGTACAAAACTTGTGATGGCCTTCGCAATGGATGGTCGTTCAAAGGGTGGCTGGCCTAGTGGACCCTCGATACGTGGTTGGGTACGAGTCAGGATACATTTCCGCAGAAGCTGTACAAAGGGATATTGCTGTATAATATATTACTAGTGACACGCCCCGTCTATTCATGGGTCCAGGGTGTTTACAGGATATGTCAACAGCTGATAATGTTGTTATAACCTAGAACCTTCTGTAAGTGAAAGAATTTTTAAGATCAATAATTAATTTCTTTTAATATATGTTATTACATACAAAACTACCATTTGTCTTTCATAACATGAATTATTAAGTATATATATATATTGTGCCTATACTGTTTTACCAAGAGGTGGACATTAAGAAGTAATATTATGATAAGCTGTTACATCATTGTAAGATCTAGTGTAACAGGCAGTAGGTAATTTCACAGCTTATTACACCTTTCAAACTGGGAAATAAGTTTGAGCAGCAATACATGACATCAAAAATTTATAAAGTCTTCTGGTAAGTTAAAATTTTGAATCTAAGTTTGAACTTAAGAGGAGGTTGGCCCTAAAGACAAGTAAAAATAAAACATTAATTATATTAAACATACTCACTTTAAATAGGTAGTAGTAAACCCTTTTCGTATCATGGTCATCTTCTCTGTGCATAGACGTAAAGATGTTCTCTACATCAACTACGGCCCCAAGTAATCTATTGACTTCATTCACTGGCAAACCTTGCAGTTGTGTTACATGATTTTCTGTAACAATATTTTTTTATATAACCGAAATGACAAACAGTTGTGAAGATCAGGGTCTTCCTGCCTGTCTGTCGTAATATAAAGCATATAACACCACTTATACATTGTCATTCCAGAGGACTAAGATAACATGTATGTGTAACTGTAATTTCAATGCTAAATTCCTACCATTGTGATGTACTTGAAGCAAGCTGCTTGACAGCTACAATAATTGAGACACAAAGGGCTCTGTAGAGTAAATCTCTAAAAATATTCGACATATTTGGTATAAAGTTGTAAAAACCATTAGATAAGAAATGGGCTACAATATGTTGCCTCTAGAATCTTCCAACTGCCTGTCAACTATGTATATATATTACATTACTAAGTTAACATGTAGTTGGCAGGGTACATTAGTACGCACTCCAGAATTAATTGAGCACCTGTTTATTCCAACTGAAACAGCCTTAAAATAGAGTAATGTATAAGTATTGGTTTATTGAGAGATTGTGAGCCTTTATATTCCCTATAAAGTGTACATTTTTTGCTACCTTTTTTTATTGTATGGAAAAATCTTCAAAAGACCACCTATTTGCCAAAACAGTGACGAGAGAGTATGAGATTCTTACTCACTAAAAAAGCATAAACTTAGGTGTATATATTTGTTGAGCGCCACCACCACCCCTCAGATAGGAGTTACAATGGCGCTCATATATACACCTAAGTATAACGTTTATGATGTTAGGGCAACCTATTTCACCCTACTCAGTGGTAGCATATACAGATATGCCTACTAGGCCAATTAGCTGGGGCGCTGCCTCCTTCAAGGCAAGTAAAGGTTTAGCTACTGAAGCAAAGTATACATTTAGTTCATTTGTATGTATGTGTACTGTATTTACCTAATATATGACCACAATGACGACAGGGGTCATTGAAGGTGGCTTGGGGTTGGTTGTCATTTCTGGCGTTTACTTTGGCTGCTGGCTGGGGCACAGGTGTCTTCCATCCACTGCAGGTACAATCTGCGGTCTAAAAAATATTAATTTGAAATTAATATCTATCAACTGAAACTGTGGTGTCAACTGGGCAGAAGGTAAGAGAGAAAGTAATACAAATAATTGACTTGGATATGCAGCTATATAACATGAATAAATGAATTTTGAATTTGCCATAGAATTGTCACATGTCTATGCCACCAAATAACTGTTGCCACTACAAAGGCACCTAAAACATGCTCAAAATCTGTGTGGATTAAAATAATTGTGGAACATATTTGACAAAATAGTCAGACAGAAGACTGAGTCAAGAAACATCTCTACAGCAAGTGGTCATCTACTTGTTATATGAACTATACTACATCTGCTTATAGGTCTGCACAGGGTAAAACAAACAAATAGTAGACTCACCTGACAGGCAGAGTATATGGCAAGTTTAAGAAGTTTCTTGTTGTTAGGCCAATTGAACACTTGTTGCTTGCGTTGTTGTATGCGCTGCAGATTGGATTGCCTCGAGGCTTGGCCTTCAGTACCAGTGGGGGTTGTTGCACTGCTGGATCCCGCATCATCAGTATTGGCGCTTGATGTGCCTGAAAAAGCATCAGTTTTTAATGAAATTGTATTTTTAGCTGATAAGTTAACAGCTCACAAAGTGATTGTGAAATTCAAGAGTACTTTAATTTCACTGACATGTATCACCCTACTAACTATAAAGCAGCTTACAAAGCGAGCTGCTTCAAGGCAGAGTGAGATCGGTTGCTAAGTGAGACAGCAGTAAACACAATGAAAAATTTGTATGAAGTCTAATTCTGTGAAAGAGGACTGTAACTATTTAATATATATACAATGTATGACCATAAATTTGTCTTTGAAGAAGTTATGGTTTTTTTTTAATCTATAAAATAAATATTGAGAACCAGAGTGAGGTTCTTTTCAAATGAAACTACATTCCAAGCCTCGGGACAGGAGACAAAGTATCTGTGTAATAGACTTAGATGAATGCAGTTTATTTCTTTTATTATTAATATCTTTTGTTGAAGAATCTATACAGAAACATGAACTTTAAATGAAAGTGTAGAAAAGCGTTATCTCTTTCAAGTTACTACACTTACTAACTTACACAAGCTAGCTTAGCTAGCTAACTATCTTCTTACTTTCTAAACATTTGAATTACTATTTTGAAGTGTTGTTTATCTTTTTGTTTTAGCTGTAAAATAAATACCACGATATATATTATAACAATTCCGTAATACCGCTTCCTTATATGTAGTTTAATAACTGTTAGTTTTCAATTTTCAGCGCCAAATTCCATACCCAGCGTCCTAAAACAGCTGTCTTTATTTCGTAGTAAACTGACAATAACTTCAGTTTTACAATACAACATATATAAACAACTATTTCTGTGTAATTTGTTATTTTGTTTATTTACCTTCATGGCCATGAGCTTGAGACGAATCCGCTTCAGTGCTTGTCATAGTAATATCACTCATTTCTTCACTCATCTCACGGCAAGACCTCTATCTACTTACTTGTTTATTATAAAACTAAGTGTGAAATATATTACAACAACATATTTAACGGATTTTGGGTAAATCAATGCAATTTTCAATATTTATTAGTGCAAATAAAATCACAGATAACAAAAACTTTGTCGACGAAAAGAAATTTTGCTAATTTCACAGACTAATAATTGTTTGACAATTCGGGATGACGTTTTAACGGCTTTGGATACAAGTTTTTAGCGGATATAATAGGGCCGCTATTACTTATGTATCTAGTGTTCGTCTGGTATAAGCAGCAGCAGGAAAAGCGATGATAGAATGAGACCAGTCGTGGCTTTATATATATGTGTATTCTTATATTATTTACAGTTCTGAATGATAATAATAATATAAATAGAAATTATATAAGAACAGAAGGGATTCGGTCCGCTATGACAGGATTGTTATTTTACTCCCTCATGTCTCGCTAGGCAACGGTGTTGCCGCGCGCTATCCGTAGATTCGCCACAAGTTCTTTTGACATTTAGTTACGATTTTTTTTATTTATTAATATTTTACGGCTCTATACAAGTCCTTTTAAGCCCAACATAAAGTACAAAAACTGATTGAAAGGAGTGTTTATTCAATAGATTAGCATTTTGTTCTAACTTTGAATAAAAACTAGCCAATAAGTCTTGTTTCAAATACTATCAATTTTTATATGGCAGTTTACAAACGGCGACTGACATTTGGCTGCGATGAGCAAATAGTTTTAGAAATCGGTAGTTTATTTAATATTTAAAACTACTCGCAGAGAATCTAATAAACGTACGAACACGGAATAGAATATAAATATTATTTATTATAATATATTTAAGTTTAATTATTATTTTTATTCATCTGGCACATTCGTATTGTGGAATTGAGCTAAGAAGGATACATAAGAAACTTGGTTTGTGTACTTTTGAACGAAAGTTATAAAACTTCCCATGTTTATGATGTGGTGCGAATACAAATTACCACATAACGCAAACAAGATATCATACCTATTTGCTCACAATCGTATTGAATATACCTAACTGAAATTGAATGTAACACGTACCGAGTATACGATTTTCTATTCTGAATTTATATTTCTGACTGACTCTCTGGTGCTAAAAACAGAGATAACATTCTTGTGTTAACGGTCAATACTGGCGGGGCACCAGTAAATGTAGATAGAATTAGCATGAAGTCAGGTCAGTGACCTTGCCGTAGTTAAATTAACCAGGAATTAACCACGATTAATAGTTTCTAGGGAGTATGGAGGTCGACAGGACCGGGTGCATTAATAGCAATGATACCTTCCAACCCCAGTGCTAACATACGTGTCCCCCTCAACATCGACAGATGATAATGCCTCTGACTACTCCACCTAGGTTAACAGTTTTGACGGTATATTATATTGTATGTTCAGAAAACCAATAATTGATGAGAAAAATGTCAACATATATTAAGATAGATATATTAGAATATATATATTCGATAAATTCAATGTCAAGATTCAAAGCACGTGCGATTAAAAAATGATACGGTTAAAATCAGGTATCTAAGATAATGCCAGTACATAATAGTTAGGTATAGGTTCACCAAAGGTTAGATTGAACAGATCTTTAAAATGTGTTATGACACAAAAGCAACCTTTTCTTTAAAAAAGTACCTAATCTGGAATAGGGGATGTCAGTTTTGCAAACGAATCCGATCGTAACAGCATGTTTCATAATAAAAGTGAAAGTCAATTAATCCCTGTGCCACTAATCCGAGATATGACAGGGTTTTGCAAGGCTAATAAAAGTGAAAAGAATGTGAGATGGATATTCATGGTAGGGTTGAAACTAAAATGTTTCAGTGCGCGCCGGGAATTCGAACAGAGATGTCCATTTGTGACTCGCCAATTCCATCATTTCGATAGTTTAATGAATCTTTTCGACTTTTATTTATTAACCGACTTAAAAAAGAATATTATTACCAATTAGCTTGTATTTTTTTGTGTGTATGGATGCATAATCTTTGATAATGCTCCACCAATTTCTTTTATACTCGAATCAACTTCCGTAGTTGGATATAATTAAACTTCTTACAATAAGTTTCTCAATGAGCAGTTTTGGTTTAAAAATGTAAAATATAAACTTTAACAAATCATGGATTCCCAATTATTCTTACGTTTTAATGAGACATATGACGACTTTTACAACCGCTGCAATAATTTGTCTCATTTCGATTGCACTGAAGAGGAGATGTTATGGTGGCTTATGGGGGCCAGGCGGCTACCTCTCAAGGAGATCATACCTATCAGCGTGGTTCTTGTGGTGATATTTTTGACTGGCGTGGTGGGCAATGTGTGTGTTTGTGTGGTGATAGTTAGACACCCAGGCCTGCACACGGCCACTAACTATTATTTGTTCAGTCTGGCTATCAGTGACTTGCTGTTGCTTCTGTTTGGTAAGTATATTTTTTTATGATTAATTATCTGTTACCTACCAGATAATGCGTTTGATTATTTTTTAGGATATAATATAGCCTATTTGCGTATTTACGCTACAATTTAACACGTTCATTATCATTACCATCGGCCCAGAGACCAGCCGTTTAGTCTTGTAAAGGTAACTATCAAAGAGACTGACAAAATCTTCTGTTTATTATTTTAGAATAACACTGCATTAAAGTGTCTATAAGATACGATGATTATAATCATAATAAAATTATTGGATCATATGGGTATAAAAGAGAATAATAAGGGTATGTTCATTATAAAAATAGTAGATAAATTATCAACATTTAAGAAAAAAATATTGACTCGTCCTTGTTTCGGGTGCTCATAACTTTGTGAGTAGTGTTATGTTATATGTTATGCGGAAAATAAATTTTGAAATGAATTTCTCGAATTTCGAAAGAAATTCTTTCACTGTTTATAAGAATGTACCTTACATGATTTAAAAAAGCTATATATAAATAGTTTTTAAAAGAAATAAACAATCTATCAAATTTTTTTATTAATATTTCAATCATACAGTATTGGTAGTAGGTAGTAGAATAGGAATACGTATGTCAGGTATATCCCGGCGTTCCACATCCATATATGTGATTAAAAAAACATATATCATATAATTATGTAGTTATACTTTCCGCATAACAAAATCCGTTATCCATTTTTATATTAGGGTAGTAGATATACTGTCCAGTACAAACTTTGAAAATAATGTAATAAGGAAGAAACAGATTCGGAGTTGTCTATTTATAATAAAAAAAGAATGCTACATGCTGCCAGCAATGGCTACATTATGTTGATTGTACGGATAGAGGCCCAGTTTATATTATATTAACATTTAATTAAATTTATGGCTACTGGAAATTGTATCCTTTACCTCTGAGAAGAACATCTAAAGATTTTAATTAAATCATTGTATTTGCATACGCGTATTATATGTTGTATATGAGTTGCGTAATTAATAAAATATGTCTTTCAAGCTTTTTTGATACAAGTACTATTATTGTATCTGTACCAGTACCAAAGCCTAGCTAGTACAGGACTAACATAGGTAGATTTTTTTTTAATTATATTTCTAGACGACTCGATGATTAAATTGGGAATTTGTTGGGGATTATAGCAGCAATTCTATATAAAATAAAAATTAGAAAAAAAATGTAATTGTTGTAAATTTGTGTATGTGATAAAATATTTATTTTATTAAGCAAGTTCTCTAGATTCATAATTTAAACTCTGGACATCAAGGTTTTTACTTACTTACTTGTAGCACAGATAACATAATATTACATAGCTACTTACGAGTACCTACTTAATTATGGTACGTAGGGTTGATTATTATATTTACATAGTATAAACAGAAGTCCCTTCAACTGTCTATTCGCTTAGATCTTTTAAACTACGTAACGAATTTTAATGCAGTTTTAGCAATAGATAGAGTTATTCAACAGGAAGATTTCTATGAATAATAAATGCGAATCCAGGGCGGGTAGTTAGTATAAATAATAGCTACTATAAAAAAATCGCTTAGTAGTAAAATAAATAAATTATCATAACAAGTGCTATGTTTATTTTTCATTTTCATTTTAGCTAACGACGCTTGCTGCCAATAAAATTATTGTAAAAAGCTCATGATAATATTATTATTGTGTAGCCTCTGTCTGTTTGTTACTTATTCACGAATAACCGGTATAACGTCGCAAAGAGCGTACGAAACCGTTAACGAACGAAACGGTAGACCGGATTTTAATGAAAATTAATGTGAAAGTACATTGTACCACAGGGACGAAGATTTATTTTAAAAAAAGCTGACGAAATCGAAATTTACAGCTAAAATTATATTATTATAATGAGGTTTGGTACTTTCAAAGACCTCTCCTTAGGTAGACATCAAAAGTCTGTTTCTTCTATATTTATACCTTTATATTTGTAAATAATCATGTATATGAAATAACAGAGCATAAAATATAACTAGAAGCTGTATTGAGAGGCTTTTGAGATTTTAATTAGGTTTCTTAATATAAGCAATGTGCACGTGACAAGCCAGGTGTCTGTATGCTAGCGTTATAGGTTATTATCACAATAATCGGTTTATGTAAGTAATAACTAGATATAACTATAACTTAGCCTGCTTCTTTTAAGACATAAGTTAGTCTATGTCCCTCTTCGTGGTATCCATTTAGCCATTTAGACGTGAAATGAATGAATTTAATATTCAAATAAATAATCTCGATAATAAAAATTAAAGCCCTTTTTGGTTAAATATGACAACCAAAAAATGTAATACTTATCTGAACTTACAATATATAATTTATAGCAAATCTTATCACTCCATGCTAAACCGATTCGATAGGCAGGTATTTATCACCTGAATACTGTTTTTGTAAGCTATCTACAATTCTAAACTAAGCTTTTATCGGAAAGTTTAAAGCCCAAGGCATAGAATATATTATAATAGTACTTACTTCGTACCCAAGGGGGAAATTTAATTGAAGTCGAACTAAGCTCTTTTTCACTTAGTTAGGGTAGGTAAGTAACTTCTTGTAAACTCAATTAAATTTCTTATTTTTTTCGTTCCTTTTTCGTAACGATACAGTAATGTTTTGAGAAAGCATTACTGTACCGTATAGGTAATAAGTACTATACAATATTTAATTGATATTATAAAAAATATATATATTATAACTCGCCACTTTACGTTACATAAGTGAAAACATTGTTCCAACGCTTTTCATCTCAAGTTCTACAAGAACTACAAGTTCAAATTAAAAATGCAGTAGGTAATCTGTAAAATCAGCTTACTCGAGAATAAAACTGGTACAAGACAAGAACAACTCAGTGCTCTTAAACTCTACTATAACAATAACCATAAGTATCAGAAAGAAATATAAATTTCTTAATACAGTATATATACACTTAGATATCCTCTTTTTATATACAGTCAAATAAAGAAATTCAGATAAATACTATATTTAGCAAGCGCAAGCGCGTTGCTAGAGAAATCTTTGCAGTCGGCTTGATCTAATTATCCTTAATTAGGATTTCCTGACCCAAATTATCGGGAAAATATACATGAAAGTAAAAATATAAGACGAATACATAAAAATATCAGAGGAATTGATTGATTTCCTGATTATTTGCCACGTTTTTATTACGGAGTAAAACCTTGCTTCTTTGTTCAATTTCTCTTTTATATTATAGGTATAGGCGTGTGTTCTGTTTGTTATTGATTTTAAAAATTATTTTATTTAAAAAAATCATTCATTTTTTTCTTTTTAGTAATTGAAATAAATTGCTACAATATCAGCTAATAAAACGAGAACCACTGAAAAAAAATATTGAAAAATGAATACCAAAATTAACTAATAAACATCAATATATTGCTTAGTAGGTATTAACAAGTGATACTGGTAAATAAGATAATGTATAAATTTACCTTAATTTTGTTAGTATAACCACAGATAACATAATATTACATAGTATAACTCAATTTGATAACTAATTTAGTTGAAAATTTATTCAGTGTGTTTTTGTATTTTCATAAAAAATTAAGTTTCTTACAGTAATTTTATGCACGAACTGTCGTGGTTGTTGGCTGCTTCATAATATTTTTTGTACAATAACTATTTAGTTATTCTACCAATCATTTAAGAACGGAGACGGAAACACGATCTCGATATCGATCGATCGGTTTACTGGACCGTACATAGTCACAAACTCGAAATTTCCATTTTTATGGTTACTTAACGCTGACAGTATTTTAAGGCGATGAATATTCAACAAACTGTACGCAATATATTTTTTGCTGGCTGTTTCATAAAGGACATAATTAATATCAAACCAGACTCCGTCAGTTTAAGAGCGTCATAATGGTTTAGTAGATTACTCAACCGAAATGTTATCTGTTTGGCATTATAACACTATTTGAATTACTTTATTCCAATTTACTTTATAAATGACTCTCGGGTGATGATCTCATGAAATCAGTTAACAAAATAATCATAAAATAGAGTTTGAACGCATATTATTTTGTGTAATTTATAGTACTGCAATTAAGCATAACTTTTATAAATCATTACCATATGCTTAGATTAGTAGGCCCATCATAGCAATAAGGAATAACCGATCTCCCTTCATCCCCTACTGATAATAATTTTGCATAATGACTTCACGAATCCATTACTACAATACAATTATTTACTAGATGCATTCAAGCCCGTTTACAACGGAAAGATGTGCGTATTATACTGCTGCGTCAATAATAGTCGTTGGTAAAAATATGGATGTCTTTAATTGGCAATACCAGAACTAATTTTCTCCCCCGGGGTGAATTTTATTGATAGTCCGCCAACGTGACGCAAAGGGGTAAAAGGAATTAACAGTTTGCTACATCAAAAGCGCCTAACCTCGTTTCGATCCTTTGATATGTATCAATTCAATCAAGTATGCCACTAAGCTCCATTCACACTATCCGATTTGAACCCGGTAATGGAATTCGATGGGGGGGAAGAGAATTGTCAGTGATGTGGACTAACGATCCCGTCGCTACCAATGTATCAAGTCAGATTGACATCCACGCGGTTTCCCCTGGAAGCCATCGTAATAAAGCCCTGATTAATTGTCACGATGGGCTAATTGACCTGACTTCATGCTCATCTTATCATTGTTCACTGATGCCCCGCCAGCGTATACCATTAACTCAGACCAAGCGAGAGCACCATTGGAAATGGAAAAAAAATCGATATTAGAACTCAGGTCGCCGTAGCCTTACAGTTTTCATGAGATGCTACGAATTAGATCCAAAATTTATTTTCTATAGCCAAAAATACCTTCTTATTTATTCTGTGCTAACTTAAGGACAGTTAAAAATAATAATATTATATTTTTGTTAGATGTTTTCTCGAAAACGTATACACACGCCCACAGTATTGTAACTACATAAACAACTTACAAACAA